TTCTCATAGCTGCTTTTAATTACAGCATCCCACAACACCTCACCCATCCTCCAACTCCTACATCCTTCTTGTCCTCTCTTTCCACAGTGTTCTCTGAGCTTTGGCAGGAGTGATAAGAGATGTCCCATTTGTGACGGGATCATTCAGTGGTAACTTATTTCCAGCCCTTGCACTGGTTATGTCTCTGCAGTTCCTCTGTCCACCCCAGAAAGAGGCTGTTCTGAGCAAAGCTGGCAGGAGCACTGGGGACATCAGCATAGTCACTCAGAAGCAGCAGCTGCCACTTCCCCAAAGTCCCTCTGGCCTCCCCAGCCACAGGCTTATAGCCAGGGGTACAGTATCCTTCCTGCAGTTGTCAGTTCCTTCCTGCAGAGAGGATCCCAGTTCTGACAGAAAGTGGTTGGTTGCCCTCATAAGACCTTCCAGTACTGTACTTACAGGAACATCCTACCTGGCCAGCAGTAGTGTAGCATGCAGTGTCCAAAGATGAATGAGATGTTGACAGTTCTCCTGGTGGCTTCTCTAGAACCCTCCCACGCTCTGGAGGCTAGCCAGCATGGAAGAAGCTTCCAACTCACAGATAGCTTGATATCTCCATGGCTTTCCATCAGAGCCATTAAACCAGTTTTTTAATTATTAGCTAGACCTCAAAAATAAAAAAGTTTGCCTTATGTGTTAAACAAAACAGAACCTTTAAAAATGATACAAAGAGAATTCGGAGAGGGGGGGCGGTCTTTGAAATGCAGATGGATATAGAAGGATATCTAAGTCCTGTTAGAAATTTGGGGAAAGTCATGGCACCTTCTCATTCCTGTGTACTGACTGCCTGCTCTTCTTAGCCTGGTTTTGGAACTTTTGTTAATGACAATGTATTAGTTGAGTGTTTTGTCATTGCTGTCATCAGTTACCTGACAGAAGCCAATCAAAAGTTCATTTTGTCTCACAGATTGAAGAGACCAGTACTAGACTCCCTGGTAGGCAGAAAGGTGGCAGATTTCCAAGATGGCCACCTTCTTCCTCAGCCTCCTGACCAAAGACAAAAGCCTGGCAGCCTTTATCTCTTCCCAGCAGTCCCCTGCTGATGGACTGACTCAACAAGTTCAAGGCCCGTTGAAAACATGTCACACAACAGTAGAGTACCAGTCAGCCATCCTACTGTCTACACACTGACCAACCCTAAAGTAGGGAAGAAGTGTCTTCAGAGGCTTTAAAACCCCAGGCCTGGAGAAAAGACCAGATTTTTTGGCACCCTGAGTCCTCCCCTCTGCCTCACAGCGGGCCTTTTTCTCTGTGTGTATGCTGCATGCGCGTTTCCTCCCCCTGTTCTTAGCTGCTAGTTCTGACTACAGTTTTGAGATTTTTCTGTTGCTACGTTTTGTGCTTCGGTTTTTTCCTGCCTTTTAATTCTTCAACTGGCAATGAAAACTAACCCAGTCAAGACCTCCAGACTATCCTTTTGAGGTACCATCTATCATTGCAGGAAAATTTTGTTTGGTCACATTGTGCTCACCATGGGGAGCAAGATGAATGTGGCCACTCAGCTCTTTCTCCTTCTTATAGTGTAGGATTCCTACACTATAAGTCTGGGATGGTACCACCTGCACTCAGGGTGTACTTTCCCTCAGTTAATCTTCTGGAAACAGTCTCACAGACATGCCCAGAAATGTGTGTCATAGGGAATGTGGAACCCAGTCAAACTGACAGTGAAGGTTAACAAATAATTAACCTTTCGATGGAACAGTTTGGGAATTTGGAGAAGAATTATATGGGAGAAGAATTATATGGTATCCTCTGGTACCTTGGATTGAAACAATAAACTTGGAATAACTTAGTATCAAGTTGGGTATCAGAAAGTTAAACTGATTTTCGGTAACATCATAGTGAAATTAACTGAGCAGTGTATTAGCCACCTGTCTTGTTGCTATGGCAAAATACCTGACAAAAGCAACCTAAGGTAGGGCTTGTTTTGGCTCACAGTTTGAGAGCACAGCCCATCACTGCCAGGAAGCCAGCCGAGGGCAGGGGCTTGAAGCAGCTCGTCTCCTTGTATCTGAAGTCAGAAGCCAACAGTGATAAATGGTTGTGCGCAGCTAGTGCTCTCCTTTTGATTAAGTCCGGCCTCCAAGCCATAGGATGCTGCAGCCCACATTTAAGATAGGTCCTCTACCTCAGGTCACCTAATCTAGTAAGTTCCCCACAGACAAGCCTGGAGATTTGTTGCCATGGTGATTCTAAATGCCATCAAGAGGATGAGATCACCATCTCAGGCAGTGCCTACCCCCCACAAATAAAGAACTGTTAGAACTGTTTGGCTTTTCTCCAATGGAAGAATTTCTTTTCCACTCAATTGTGAAGCAGTGCTGTGAGGGTTTGAGGTCTAGAGTTCACTGCTTTTACAAATCCTGCAGCACACCTGTAAAGGAAAGCCACATTTGTCAAAGTGACAATCCATCTGCAGATATGGCTTATTAATCCTCTGTTGTGCTTCTTCAACTGTTCCCTAATTGGAAAATGTTCATCTCCCGGGAGGTAGTGTCATTTACTTTGTGTCAATGTTCTACATAAATTTTTGCCTCTCGCTTGTGACTTCTCTGTGGAAATAAACTCACACAAGCTGACTCAAGTCGCCATAGTGGTTGCCTTACAGATTCATGCTTGACTGGCCAGAATTAGGCCAGAGCAATCTTTTTGCCTCACTCTGTGATTACCATAGCTGTCCCCATGCCCCATTCTTCCTTGAGTAGGATGTGGGGAATAAAATGAAAACCAAAGGTTGAGGCCTGAGGAGATTGCTTAATGGTGAAAGCATGAGAGTTCAGATCCCCAGAAACCCAACTAAATGTCAGGTATTCACTTGTGATCCCAGCCTCAGAAGGTGTAGATGGGAGATCCCCTGAGCAGGCTGGCTAGCAGTACCACCTCAGTGAATAAGGTTGAAGAGAAGTACAGGAAGACACCCCACCTCAATCTGGGGCCTCTACATGTATACACAGCGCCTCCACCTCCCTCCCACCCACACAGACATACGCACAAACACACACATGTACACATGCACAGAGAGAGAGAGAGATAGGGTGAGAGGAACCCTCAAGTTTAAATACCCTGAAAGCTTTTCTTGTCTAGTTGCTCTCATCTCAGGGGAAGCTCTTGGGAATATTCAAGCTGTTACTGGAGCCATCCAGATACCACCGTTCTACCTAACACCCTCCACGGAGTCCCCAGCCACTGCCCCAGGCACCAATTTCTTTCATCTGCACTTCTGTCAGTCATCTCACAGCCCCCTCTTTTCTGTTCTGCCTTTCGATGCCAGCTCGGCTGTTGTTTCAAAAGTGCTAACAGTATTATGTCCATGGGCCTGTTGAAAGTGCTTGGTGACTCTCAGCTCCACATAGAATAAAGGCGAAACATTCCACTGGCACAGGGCCCAGAGGAAACAGCTCTGCGCCTCTCCTCTCTTTGGAGAACTCGTCTA